TTAATAAAATCTCCTTTATGTTTGTTTTTTTACAAAATACCCCCTATAATAAAACATTAAAAGTTAACAAAAATACCCCTAACCCACCCTCAAACACCCCCAGCCGGCGACCACCACCGGAGGTGGCCGGANCTTGTAGAGCATTACGAGTTATGCTGCTACCATCTCTATCTTCTTCATCTTCATCATTTTCTTCGTCTTTATCTCCATCATCTTCATCTTCATCTTTGTCTTCATCTCATCTTCATATTCATCTTGCAGAGCATTACGAGTTACGCTGCTACCATATCTTCTTGAGCCACCTCAGGCTCGCAAAGCCTACAAGTCAAGCCTCCCCATGTTCGAACTTGGCTCATTTTATATAACGAGCTTGAGTCGAGTTGACTCGGGTAACTATGAGCCAAGTCATAAACGAGCTTCAGATCGGCTTGCGAGCCGTTCGACTCGTCTAACATCCCTAGTGGATAGGGGTGATTTTACTACAAATTAAAGTTTTATATGGCTAAGGTGTTTTAGCAAAATTTCAAATGTAGGGTGTTAAAAGAAATGATTCAAAAAATAACAATTAAAAATAATATTATATCAATATTTAAAAAGGAGTGCAATTTAGTAATCTATATAACATACTTATCCATTTATCCTCCCAACCAAACATATTACTCACCAATTTATTTGAACCAGACAAATACATTTCCTAAACAATCCCAATAATCTTCAAGGTGATATATATTTTCATCAATATAACATCTTCTATAATAAAACATTATATGATCTAAATGCCTGCTAAAGGGATAAAATTGTAAAAAAAAAAAAAATAAGATTACCAAGTAATTTTAAAATGTCTAAGAAAATGGAGGTAATCAGATTACCTCTTATATAACCAACAATAATACTATTGGTTTTGGAAGGTTATCAGAATCTTATATTACTTGACAACCAAACGTGATAATCTAAGTAATATAAGATGACATTACCTCAGTAATAGGGGATTACCCCCAACCAAACACACCTTAAGAGTTTTCTGAATGTGTAACTAAAAACTTGTAAAAAATAAAAAAAAAAAAAAAAAAAAATAAAAGGTAAACTCACTAACTACATGTGAAATAGTAGAACTGTATGTAGAAGTGATTTGGTCTTAAGCCACACCTTAATTTTCTCATTTCCATACACAATGGAGAGCAAAGCATTTCTTTCAAATTTTAATCCTTGCACATGGAACCTCCATCATCTTGAAAAACCATTAAAAGTTGCTTGTTAATTGTTATCATGAACTATAAAGGATAAATTCATCTCAAACGTTTGATGATTTCAGAAGCTATTATATACCTCCATGGATTTGCCATAAATCCATTAAGAAAATGAAAACCCATTGCAAATATATATTATATATATATATATTATATATATAAAAGAAAAAATTCCCCAAATATATGAAGCTTATATTTCTGAAATTCTGGAAAAACATAATATACTTAACCTCTCAAGCGCCTCAACGATTTTGAAAAATATTTATTAATCGACTGCATATTTCTATTGTGAGGATCCACCAGAGGACCTTCTATTCTAATAGGACATGAACTAAATCAGAATCATTATTAACAAGTAAATGAAATGATCCCCATTTTTCATGGGGCTCTAGTGGAGACCAAAGGTCCATAGCAAACAAATTACACAACCCTACCTCTATTTTCCAAGGCCAAAGTAAGCTCAAAACAAACCTACATAAAGTTTGTGAATGTAGTCCATTTGATCAAATAATGTCAAGAAACTCTTTACTTAGATGTCACTAAAGCCTCACAAATCTACCCTCACATCAAACAAATAAACCAAATCCATGCCCAATCATCAAAACTCTACAACCCCAATCTTAAACCAGTTCTAAAACTCTTAGCAAATTCATCCACTCCACAAAACGATTTCTACTTTACAATAAATGCTCCACTACCCTTCTTCCCATAACACACTACACTTTCACTCATGCTCTAAATGCATGCTTCTGGCCCAAAATTCCCCCCCAAAAAGGCCTTGAAATCCATGCCCATGTCATCAAACATGGGCACTTGCATGATGTTTTCATCCAAATGCATTGCTCCACTTTTATGTAACTCAACATGATGTTTTCTCAGCCACAAAGTCTTTGATTCTATAAATTACCCTGATGTTGTTTCTGGAGTAGTTGATTTCTGGGTTTTGTAAACGTGGTTTCTTTAATAAGGCTATTGATTTGTTTGTGATATGAATGTTAGACCTAATTGTGTTACTCTTGTTAGTGTTTTATCTGCATGTTGTGGTTTACGGTCTTTGAAATGGGGAAGCTGTTCATGGATATAGCTTGAGAAATGTGGATGGATTAACATTGTTTTGGGGAATGCAATGTGGAATTTTATGTGAGATGTGGATCAATTTTGGCTGCAGAGTATCGTTTTGTGAAAATGCCTGAGAGAGATGTTGTTTCTTGGAGTATTTGATTGGTGGGTATGCACAAAGAGGGTTTTGTGAAGAAGCCATAAGGGTTTTTAAGAAATGGTGAAAACTGAAGAAGCTGAGCCTAATGAGGCCACAATTGTGAATGCATTATCAGCATGTTCATTGATTAGTTCTTTGAGTTTGGGCCAATAGTGCATGACTACATCAACATAAGAGCTGACCTTTGGTGAGCAATGTTGTGATGAATTCTTTGTCCATGTATGTCAAATGTGGAGAAATTCGCACGCAATTCAGGTCTTTAATAAGGTTAAGTACAAAGATGCCATCTCTGGACACATTATTAATGGCTTGGCCTGAATGGTCTTGGCAAACAAGCTTTGCAACTTTCTTTTAATGCATGTCAATGGGGTCCCTCTGATGATGTAACTTTCATTGGAGTTTTATCGCATGTAGCCAGGAGGTCTTGTGGCTAAGGGGTGATGGTTTTCAGGCCATGTGGAGAGTTCACAGAATTGTGCCAAAAATGGAGCATTGTGCATGCATGGTTGACATGTATGGGAGAGCAGGGCTTGTGGAGGAAGCTGAGGCTTTATTAGGGAGATGTGTATGATGGAGACGATAGGGAAGAGGGATTCATGGGGGGGCTTTGTGAATGCTTGTAGAAATCATGGAAAGGGGAGATGTTTGAGAAAGAGTTAAGCAAAAGATGTTGGGAATGTGAGAGGAGTAGTGTTGGAACTTTTGCATTGTTGTCTAAACACTTATGTGGGTTTTGATAGGTGGGATGAGGCTAATAAGGTAGAGATGAGATGAGATTCATGGGATTGAAGAAGAGGCTGGTTGTAGTTGGATTGAAGTGAATCAATCAATCTCTTGAAAAACCAATCATATATATTCTTAAAGGATCTCGAAATTATTACTCGGACTGTAGTAACCATCTTTACCCCTCCCTAACACCAATCTAACAGAATTAAGGCAAAAGGGTATCAGTAATACAATTTTCAATCTTCAAAAAAGTCCATTCGATAAAAAAAAAAATGCGAAAATCATCATTTAGACGATAATTTTGGGGAACTCGTTGATAAACTATTTTTTCTTTTCAAACTAATGTAATATTTCACGTATTCTGATTTGTGTAATTGGATTTTTTCTTTGTTGATTATAGATTTGTTGAATAATATTATATCTTAGAAAAGTGTTCATGTGTTGCCAATATGTAAGGTCGTTCGTGGGTCGTAAGAAAACCATACAAAGTCATTTGTATATCATTCAAATAAATGATACAATCCCTTTTAGTTTTTGGTCAAATTAAAAAAAAAAAAAAACTCAGAACTTTGTTAATTTTGCAAAAAGCACCCTGTCTATAATATAAAGACAACATACATTGTTCGTTATAAACAAACCTCTTCATTGAGTTGAGTTTGAGTTTCACCTTCTCTATCCTTGTACTCTTCTCACAAATGCTAAAGCTGAGACCCACTTCTTCTCTCCTCTTGCTCACTTCAAACCCTTCATCTTTCTCTCTTTTCTCCAAAAACGAGAACACCTTTTCCCTCTAAAACCTCAAACCTCTTTCTTAAACCCATTTCATTCTTCTTTCAACATCTGCAGTTTTACCACAATTACAAACACAACAGAATAACTTAATGTCAGCCTTGAAGCCCACCATCTCCTTGCTGTATGCCCCACCAAAAAGGCCTTAAAATTGCTGTTCTTGTAAGTGGGGGGGTTGATAGCAGTGTTGCTCTCAGGCTTCTTCATGCTGTGGCCACTCCTGCACTGCGTTTTACCTCAAAATTTGGTTCAAGTATGCTTCTTTTAATTCTATTTTAATGTGTATTTATAGAGATTTTGTAGGGTATCGGGAAAGTGAGATTTTTTCCCCATGTTTTTTGGAGAGTAATTTTGTGGGGGGATTTGTTTTGTGTTTTGTGCTTTTCTCAGTTTGGAAATATGAATGCTTTGTGTAGTTCAGCTAAAATTGGCACGTTAATATTGAAAATTTGTGTTCCTCTTAAGTTGTGGCTATGATTTTTCGTAATATGGAGGAGGGTCAATTTGGTTAAAAATTGATTAGGTTAGAGAGGAGATGGGTTGTTTTAGGTTCTATGTAGTTTTATTTTGGTGCTTAGTGTGTTAATTGTTTGAATTTCTGTGTGGTTTACAGCTTCTGGTTCTTCCATGTCCATGGTAAAGAAGATGAATCTTATCTGAATTGTTTGAATTTTTTTTTGTGGCACTTCCTGTGATAGATGTGAGAAATGGATGGATAAGAGAACATTCCGTTTGCATATTTGCGGGGACCATGTGCGTCATTAGTCTGTTTGATCAAATTAATAAAGTTAATGCTCTCGACTCCGGTGCATTGTCTAGAAACAAGATGAATTTTGAGCTATTTTCTATTTTCCCCACTTTCATTTTGAAATCCTTTCACCGACTTCATTGCCTTACTAATGACACAGGGACATGTGATGTTTGCATATTATAGCTTGAAGTGAAATAGGCATGTCTTTTAATCTTGTTAATCTGTTAGACATTAGAACAAGCTGGTTCTGATTTGTGGTTTGGTGTAGGAAGACTTTGAGAACTTTTGGTCAGAATGCCCTTGGGAAGAAGATTTGAAGTATGCAAGAGCTGTTTGTGATCAGGTTGCTTCTCTCATTTGCAATCATGTTGCTTTGAAATATGATTATAATGGTTATTTAAAGGGTTATGTGTATTTGATATTTCATTTGTCCAAATAAAGCTTCTTTGTTTTCATTAGCATCAAACTACCTGCATAAATAGCCCCCCCTTGCATGATTTCTATGAAAGGGTTTTACTTTTATTTATGATAGGCAAAGTCTTGTCTTGATTTCCTTGGTATAGGTTGTGCAGAAGAGACAACGTCACACTGAAATTAAATGATGTTGGTTTTCAGGTTGATGTACCGTTAGAAGTTGTGCATTTGACAGATGAATATTGGAAAAATGTGGTATGTATTACTGATTCAATTGTGGATTTTTTAGATTATGTTTCACTCATTTTTTATATTATTCAGCCAGGAATCTTGTTCTCGCTAATATTTTTCTCATGTAACATAAATTATTTAACTCAAATCAACTTAAAGCTGCTGGTCATTTTGCTTCCGTCACTGCTGTCTTGTTGGATTACTGAAAAGAGGTCATGAAGGTTAATTTTGGTCATTGTAGTCATGAGAATTTCTGGTTATCCATGGTCAGGTGTCCTACATTATTGAAGAATATCGATGTGGCCGAACTCCCAATCCTGATGTTCTTTGCAATACAAGAATAAAATTTGGTATGAATTCTGCTGAACTTGGAGGATGCAACTGAATCCTATGTTATGTACCGCCTTTCTTTAATATTATGTCATTTTGAACCTTTCAGGCGCATTCATGGATGCCATCAACAGTTTGGAATTTGATTATGTTGCTTCTGGGCATTATGCAAATGTTGTCCACTCAGCTGCAGATCAAATGGATGAACTTTCTGTTTTAGAACTATCAAAAGACATGGTAGCTATTCTCGATACACTTTTATCCTATCTTAAAAGTTCCTGCATGTTTTTGTTTCTCTGCATATCTTTCCATATGCAGATTTGTTGAGTGAGTGTTTTATTGTTAGGGAGATGTTTATGCTCTTGCATTTGTGTTTCTATGATATTTTGACCGTTATAGACATGCATAAGAAATTTTGCTTAGATATGAAAAAACTTTAAGGCACCAGAAGTTCCACAGCCGTGCTTATAGTTCTAGGATTTGGTGTCTTTAGCACTGGGAGCTTACTCCACCGTTCTTTGTCATCATGCAAGGAACACTTGTCTTGAAATATTTTTAGTGACTTTGGCAAGTGCTTTGCACGCTTCTTTAGAAGGTTGGTAGCTATTTTCTAACTCTTGGTGTTAATGGTTGATTTGAGGGTTTTAGGTTGGTGGAACCACTCTGGCTTACCCAGCAACCAGTGTTTTTGTTTGGCTATATGCCATCTTCAAAGCTAATTCATGCTGATGAACGTTTACAGGTTATAGCATTTCTGTATACATTTATCAAGGTCTCTCATAGGCTGTGCGATGTATACAATGGATTTGATTGTATAACCCTATGATGAGCTCATCTATACAGTATCGATGCCTGATTTTCTCCTTTATTTTGTATTGCATGGTTGTTGTTAATCGCTCAAGAATTTTTTTATATTGCTTCTTATCCTCTGAATGTTAGAAGATCTGGTACTCGTAAATGCTTTTTTTTTTTTTTTTTTTTTTTAAAACAGTTTTTTATTTTGCAGGTAAAGGATCAAACCTACTTCCTTTCACATCTCTCACAATCTCAGCTTAAGCAACTTATCTTCCCACTTGGTTCGATTCCAAAGGTTGGTTAGACCTAATTTCTTTGTCATAGAAACTTTTACAGAGCATACTAGGTTTCTCTTGTTATTGCATATGACTCTTGCATATATTGTCTCTCCCTTAGATTTTTAATTGTTTTTTGTTATAAATTTTCTCTCCATATTATCTGCAGGATGAAGTTCGCAAGCTTGCTACAAGATTTGATCTACCTAATAAAGATAGAAAGGATTCACAAGGGATATGCTTCCTCGGCAAGGTATGTTTTCTGATTCAATCACCCTTATTGCTATTTTTTAAATACTTTTAGGCTAAATTTTTCTTCTTATATTAACCATTTTTATGCCGAATGCATGTAATTTTCATGGATGGTGAAAAGTAAAAGGGAAAAAGTTCAGAACATCATCTACTATCTCTTATTAATGTCAACCCCTATATATAAAAGTTCTCATTCTGCTTCTACTTTCTTTGTCTGTTGAAATCTTTACACCTTTTCTTTTCTTTCAATTTTTTAAGAGGTTTGTTACGGTTCTTAAGCTTGGTTTTTGGTCAGCTTTTAATTTGTTACTGTACTCTTAGTGCAATTAATTCTGGACAGATAAAATTCAGTGAATTTGTTGCGAGACATATTGGAGAGATGGAAGGTGTCATGTTGGAAGCTGAGACGGGAGATTTCTTGGGGAAACATCGCGGATTTTGGTTCTACACTATCGGTCAACGACAAGGTCTACGTCTCCCTGGAGGACCCTGGTATGCTCACGCTCTTTCAGGTTGCAATAGCAAATAGTTTTTCAGTTAATTCTATCGGTACTGTACTACTGAGATATGTTCCTCTATATTGTCATGGCGCTAACAACAGCTGTGATGAGTATCTTTCGAACTTTTGATGAATTCATATATTCCGAGTCAGAGATGCGTCTTGTGAACTTCTCGTTGAGCCGTAGATCATTTCAGTTCAGCTCCCTGTTAGGTTGTTCTTCAGTCACATTGCTTAAGGGTTTATCCGGTATATTTTATGCAGGTATGTTGTGGAGAAAGATGTTAAGAACAACGTAGTGTTTGTGTCAAGAAATTATTTCTCATTTGACAAAAAAAGGCGTTTATTCCGTGTTGGCTCCTTGAGATGGTTCAGCGGTTCGCCTCCAGCGGAGATCAATCAGCTTCAGTGTAAGGTAGAAAAACACTACTCCTTTTTTTTTTTTTTGTTTAACAATCCAAAATTCCCCTAACCTCACTTTACGAACCTGAATTCGAAACTGTAGCCCACACCAAACCTTATCATCTTTGGGAAGCAGGAAACCCCAGGAGAGTCCTCAAAACCAAGATCTTGTGAGAGCAAACCACTGGCCTGATAATTTATTGCTTTGAGTCGTCTAAATCTCACTTGTCCTGGAACTTTTCAGGTCAGGCATGGCCCTGGATTTTACAATTGCAGTTTGACAATAGAACAAAGTGAAGGTGGTCATGGAGACGTTGCAGTTGTCCATTTATCCGAAGATGATCAAGGTCTGGCGGCGGGGCAGTTTGCAGCCTTCTACCAGGGAAGAAAATGCTTAGGCTCTGGTATAATTTTAGAGTCCTGGGATGACCAAGGCTTTCCAGTATGTGAAAAAGCTCTTGAGATTGCAAGAATGGAAGATAAATCAACGCTTGGGAAACCAGTTAAGATTAAGGTGAAACCGGAGACTCCTACGAAGAAGGCGTCCGATCATGAAAGTCTCGGAATTAACGGAAATGATTTTGATGCTCAAAACGTTGTCACTGAGAAACGAAAAGAGGGTTCTGATTCTGAAGAAGAATCAATGGCTAGGTTGCCAATGAGTTGGCTCCAAAAGCTTAGAGATAGGTTGCCTAAACTACTGTAGTTTCAATGGGTTCAGCTTCTTTGAGCTTTATGATTTTTGGCACAATATTAGTCAACTCTCTCTCTCTCTCTCTCTCTCTCTCTCTCTCTCTCTCTCTCTATATATATATATATATATGAAAATAATTATTTTAAATAAAACTCGCAAGCGCACGAATCTATCGGAGTATAGATTTAGCGATATACGAAGTCGAACCTATAAGGATTGATAAATTAACGGAAAAATTAATTAACTAAATTAAATTAAATTTATTACTAACCTAGTTCACAAATTGATTCAGTAAATTAAATCTAAGATTCTAAATCTAAGAACTAAAATCAAACAACTAAAACCAGGAATGATTATCTATATCTAACTCTTAATATATTATTGTGATTTAATCTCAATTTTAGTTAACGGACAGTTAAAAAATCAATCTATTATCTCGTAGAAATATTGAATTAAGCATTATTTAATAAATCTAGTGTCAGTTCTTTTTCAGCCTAAGATATAATTTCTAAATATTTAATGTATCCAATTCAATAAAAAACGGTAGCTTTATTTTCAGATTCCACTGGACTTCATTGTACTTAGATCAAACCTCAGGGACCAAAATGTATTTAGTGTAACTCGTTAAAGATCCTGCCTAGGCTGACACTTGATTTTGATCTTAATTTCAAATTGACCATAATAGCCTCAGGCTTTTAAATTACCCGGAAAAATTATAAAACAAAGCGGATAAACCCCTCTTGGGCTAAAACCTTCGTTTCTCTGTTACAAAAATGGCAGCAGCAGTATCAGCTGCTTCTGCTACTGGACACCTCTTCTCTACAACAACTGCAACGACGAGCTCAATTTCTCTTCTATATCCAATTCAGAATCATAAAAAACTTTCCTTTTCATCATCTTCTTCTTCAATAATTCTCCGCTCATTCTCTTCTCCTTTTCTCCCTCTATTTCCTCACCCCAACCGCTCTCTCTCCCCTCGCCCTCTCCCTCTCCCTCTCCCTCTCCCTCTCCGATCTTCTTCTCCCTCAAACGATGCCGTTTTAGGAGGTGAAGGAGTAGAGGAATTCGAAGAAGATTTAGATGATGATGAGGAGTATGGAGAAGAAGTTTACGATGACGTTGATGCTGAAGAATCTGATGGTCAGAATTACACGATTGATGTCGACACGCTTGAGCGAGAAGCTAAGGACGCTGTTCGCGAGTTTTCTACCTCTTTGTCTCGCCAGTTAACAATCGGTGCGTGCCTTTAACTGTTCTTTTAATTGCCTTTTGTTCCTCTCGAAAAGCAACTCAACAAAACGCTACAAAATTAACACCAAAGTTGATTTGAGTTGTTTAAACATGCTTTTAACAAGTTGTAAAACAGTTTTTTTAATGATTCATAGCTCTTCTTGAGGTGCAATCGAACTAGATATAAAAACATTTTAAAAAGTGATTTTAATATTTAAAGGGCTCTTTTGATTATCAGATAAAGGGATGAAATAGGCACTGGAGCACTCTTTAACACATTATTAATGACATTGTGTAACTGTTCTCAATTGTCTACCGATTTCAGAAGATGAGAAGGATGATCGAAAAGAATCCGGCAGAAAGCAGAAGAGGCGTCAGAGCACAACTAGAAATGTTTGTTATCATGTTTCCTTGACTCATATTTTGATTTGATTTTATTCTTATATTTTGGTAATACTATTTCAAGACATTGAGATTGTGGAGCTTACTAATAGAACTGAGTTATATAATTGTACAATTTGAAGTCTGCCATCAACAGTTGCAATGACCTGATGAATTTCGGGTTCTTGTTATTTTCTTTCTCTGGACAGAACACTTTTGCCGAGTTAGTATGACTAATGTGTCTTGATAATGTAAATTGTGCTCTCTTTTTTTGAGGAGAATATAATTTCGCAGTTTCTTTATACTCTTGTGAAATTCCTTCTGCAGATCCCTGACCATCTTCTACCAAGGGTTGCAATTGTTGGAAGGCCAAATGTTGGTAAATCAGCTCTGTTTAACCGTCTTGTTGGGGTACTAAATCATTCATTTTGTATTTTAATTAGTTTAACTATTGCTCTTAATTCACTTACCAATATTCTGGAAAGTAAATTTGAATCTTACAACTGTACTTTTTCCTAAGTTTTTACATTACGATAATTGTTCTCTTCTTTTCATTGAATATATATTCCAGGGTAACAAGGCCATTGTAGTGGATGAACCTGGGGTTACTAGGGATCGCTTGTACGGTAGATCCTTTTGGGGAGAGCATGAATTTATGGTGGTGGATACCGGAGGTGTTCTCACTGTTTCAAAATCACAGGTTAATGTTATGGAAGATTTGGCTATCACAACAACCATCGGTATGGATGGGATTCCGCTTGCCACTAGGGAGGCAGCTGTTGCTAGGATGCCCTCAATGATTGAGAGACAAGCTACAGCAGCTGTGGAAGAGTCATCTGTCATCATATTCCTTGTCGATGGCCAGGTGCAATCTGTTATTTCGTAACTTGTATGTAACAAATAGCTGTTTTGTGATTTTTAGTTTCAACTTTTTCACCTGGTTTCGTTAGGAAGTTTCTCTCTTGATGGCTGAATGTATTTTATTGTTTCATCATCAAGGGGTTTGGGAACCATGCAGTATTTGACATTGAAGTTACTCTTATATTATTAAGGTAGATGGCTTCTTGACATGTTATTATGTTTTGTGTGTACCCTGCAGATTTTAGATTCCATTAAGCTGTAGAAAGTGCATCCACAATGGGAATGATCCACAAGGTCTAGTTGTTAAGTTTAAGCTCAATCTAAAAGCTTAGATTTATAGAATAGATCTGGCGGGATTAGATAATAAATCTAAATGGGATCATATATTGGATGGTTTCTTTCAGTATCTGTTTATGTAATCTTTTACTAGTGTAGTATTAACATCACCCATTGAGTTAGTCTTCATCCTAGAACTGTTGTTTAAATGCCTAGTTATTTACAGGTGAACTTGCCAAGCTCTTGTGCAGATGACTGAGGCAAACAAATTTATTTTCATGATTCTAAGTTATACTATATATGGTCACTGATCACTGTGCAGGCAGGTCTAACGGCAGCTGATGTGGAGATAGCTGACTGGCTACGTAAGCATTACACGGATAAGTTTATCATTCTTGCTGTGAACAAGTGTGAATCTCCACGTAAAGGAATTATGCAAGTGTCAGAATTTTGGTCCTTGGGGTGAGATGCTTTTTCTTTTTTCTTGAAAAATCTAGGCCTTACATTGCATGGTGAATACATGCTCATAACTTATCTGTAGGAATTTTTCAAGATATAATTAGGCCTAGGAAAGAATTCAGGCTCAGGTGATGTAGATTCTTTGGAAGATTTTCTGAAACTTGTGCCAAGTCTATGAACACATAACATCCATTAACGGGCTTTACAATTATGATACTCCATTTAGTGGATGCTTGCACTTGGAAATTTATATGCATTTTGATGCTTGTTTAGAGAAAATGAAATATTAGATTATATGCTAGGAGTACTTTTTCTTTTACATTTTCCTCTCATTTCTTGCCGTAAACTGAATGGGTTCAGTGGATCATATTTTATAAATGCATTAGACCTGGTTTATTTCTTTACATATCTTTTTTTATTAGTCCTAAACTTTTTTGTTGATCAACCAGGTTGTCACCAATTGCCATTTCTGCTGTATCTGGGACTGGAACTGGAGAGCTTCTTGATCTTGTTTGTTCGGGACTGGAAAAAATTGAGGTTTGTGATTCTAGGATTGGGTTTAGCATAAATGTTCTTGCTATGATCATATATCCCTATGTTCGTACAGTTTTAATCAAATTGGCAATCTGCTAAATCATTTCTTGATAATTACTTTTGCAATATTACCCAATAGATAGCCAAATCCATATCTACCTTGCACGCGGTGATGCTGCACATATTCTAATTGTGGACAGCATTTGTGGTAAAAATTTAATCATGATAGATATTGAGTTTATACATTTTATTTTATGAGTCTGATCCTGTTATGAGAGGTATTGCCACTATCAGGATGAGTTGTAGTCCCATAGTTAGGGCCAGGATTAAGGACCATATCAGTCTTGACCATCATCAGTGTCAAACTTCTTTGCAACTAATCTTGAAACCAACCAAAATCAAATTTATCTTTTTATAGAAATTTCTTGAGCAGATTCATATGCCTTTTTGATGTCAGCATTTGTTATTAGGGTTTTTCCTTTTGATAATTCACTTTCCCCTTTCATGGCTAGCAAATTTGCACTTTGTTTAAGTACTGGGTTTTGGTGGGTTCTAGCTAGTTCAGCTAGTGGGATATCTTGAGGTTCTAAAAAAGGTCTTAGGACCCAATCCCTATGCCTAGTGTTCTTTTTCTACCATTTGATCTTGATCAGCAGCTGTAGTTCTGATTCATAATCAACATTATACAACCTTGGGGATAAGATGAGGATTTGTAGTGCATTATTTGTGTGGATATAGTTACAAGAACGCATATGAACATGTCATTTATTGTTTCAAATGTCGTTTCATGTTGCTTTCCATGGCACGAAGATGTCATAATGACTGTTATAACAAAACATTTTTTGAGCTTGTTAGTTATCTATCATTACAATATTATGCATTCTTGCTGCCGTTTAGACATTCAAAATGCACCCTTATAAACTATATAATTTACCTGCAAAAGGCATGTCCACATTTTTCTCTTGTTCTCATAGTGTATGAAGCTAATAACTAGATGGTTTATAGTTTGTTGGTTGCAATTTATAGGATGTAGAAAATCTCAATGAAGATGCAAATTATGTTCCTGCAATTGCAATTGTTGGCCGGCCAAATGTTGGCAAAAGTAGCATTTTGAATGCTTTGGTTGGAGAGGATAGAACGATTGTTAGTCCTATCAGTGGTACTACACGTGATGCTATTGATACTGAGATTGCAGGACCTGATGGCCAGGTATGACTCGAGTTTTTACTACCAATTTTTCATGTTAGTTGACTATCAGTTCTACCGCATTGTTTATTGATGTAAGAAGAATTCATTGAGTTCGATTAACTGAGAGCTTCATTTGCATATTATATGTGGACTTTTAGACCCAGTAAGGACTATTCTCTCTGCACGCCAAGTGTATGCATGTTTCCATAAAATCACATTCACAGTTTTTTCTAAATCAGTGTTCAGTAAAAATTGTACTTATATATTCATCTATAAACTAAAAAAAATTTTTTTTGGGGGTCCCAGAAGTTCCGGCTTATTGATACTGCTGGTATTAGAAGAAGGGCAGCCATAGCCTCATCTGGTAGTACCACAGAGGCTTTGTCAGTGAACCGAGCATTTCGTGCCATTCGTCGTTCTGATGTTGTTGCTCTTGTCATTGAGGCCTTGGCTTGTATCACAGAACAGGTACTTCATCTGCGGCTATTCTGGAGTCATCATATTTATGGTGTTTTTAACATTTGGCTTCTGAAACTTGCAGTCAATGCACTTTTAAGTAGGGTGGGAGAGGGCTGGAGAGAGAGATTGAGAAATTGCTTTTGCCTTCCTAATTACTTTACTTTTCCCCCATAACATGACGTGGGCATATAAAGAATGTGAATAGTCAAAAGGGAATTATGAAAGACCACCAAAAAGTGGAGAAGATTTATATGTTGCTGGAGTTCTATGATTTTTTTGATTCCTGCAAACTTAGACTGCTCATAAAATATGTGCCACCTTTACTTATAACATCTCCAGTACGGATCCTGACTGATCCACAGGAATCAGTGCCCATGTCCTTCATATACCTGGCAATTACTGTGATAAAACTCTCCTAGGTGGCCCCAAGTTCTTGGCAGTGGAATTTTAAGCCTACATAGGTGTTTCATGAGACACCAAAACCCAGACTATCTGGAGGGCCACTCCGCACAAAAAACTTAAAGACTCTTACAGTTTTTACCTTGTTAATTGATTGAAATTATTTAATAGATTGAAAGTTAAACTTATTTGAATTATTCAGTAAAGTGCATGTTCCTGATAACATAAACACAAGATTTGAGCAGATGTGTTGGCATGTCATTAAAGATTAAGGCTGATGCCTATTCCCTTATAGGGGGAGGTTGTGAAATAGGAACTCTAATATATGTAGGGTGGGGTATTACCTCACGCTGTAGGCTAATTAGGGGCTTTTATATGAATATGAAATAAGATTGTTTCATTGATAGATCTTAAATATAGCGTTGGTATGTTTTTGGCCCATTAATCAAATTTTTAACTGGCTCTTTTCTTTTCTTCGGTTACCTCGTTTAATTATGTTTTATGTTTTTTGTCCCGGTTTTCCTAGGATTGCAGGATTGCTGAAAGGATTGAAAAAGAAGGAAAGGGTTGTCTGATTGTTGTAAACAAATGGGACACCATACCAAATAAAAACCAGCAGACTGCAACATACTATGAGCAAGATGTTAGAGAAAAGCTTCGTGCTCTTGATTGGGCGCCTATTGTTTATTCAACTGCAGTAGCTGGTCATAGTGTTGATAAGTATGTTCTGGACCTAATGGTGTCATTTTCTTTACTGTTCTAAAAGATACCTGACAGTTAATGCCAATCAATTTTTCTTATTTATATTATAACCCTGAAATCTACATAATAATCGGAAAAAAGATTCTTTCTTTTCTCGGTACTCCTAAAATAGACACTTAACAGAAAAATCATCTGTTGGCTTGATGAAAACACTTTTTGATCCGTTTACATGAACTTATGCTCATTGTGTTTTGTTTGATTCCTTTTTGCCTTCCTCTTAAAGGGAAAGAAAGTCCAATTCTATAGAAATAAATTTTGATTGTATAATCACTGTTACATTGAAATAAAAGAGAGAATAAGTTTTTGCTGTTGTTTTTGGTCAGAATCATTGTTGCTGCCAGCACGGTTGAAAAGGAGAGATCAAGAAGGCTAAGTACTGCGACATTAAATCAAGTGATACAGGAAGCACTAGCTTTTAAGTCACCTCCTAGGACCCGAGGTGGCAAGCGAGGACGTATATATTACTGCACTCAGGTAGAATCTCATACAAGACTGCAATTGATTATATTGTCTCTACGTGATAATTTTTCGCTGTCTTAAAAAATTCAGGCTTTACCCAGAAAAAATCTTGTTCTTTTTTAAAGTTTTACTAATGAGAGGTGTGTTTTTCATTATGTGAAGAGCCAAAATAGCTTTCTTTTTACTTATATATTGTTACTCGCTTAACTCATCGGCATATTCTTTTCTGCTACATTTCTCAATTTTGTTTTCAGCATTTTAGTATGGCCTTGGTGACACTCAGTACTGAATGTGATTCCCTATTGCAGGCTGCTATCAGACCACCAACATTTGTTTTCTTCGTAAATGACGCAAAACTATTCTCCGAGACTTACCGGCGTTACATGGAAAAGCAACTTCGAAAAGATGCAGGATTTTCTGGTACACCAATTCGACTTCTTTGGCGGAGCAGAAGAAAAATGGAAAAAAATGAAGGTAAGTACAAGCCTTTCCCCCTTTCATTGTTGGAAATGAATTCAGTAACTTCCTTAATGACGTGCTAGCATAAAATCCATGCATATAAGTTGAACCCTTGTTTCATTCAACTCTTTCGATGATATGGTTTTCCTGGACCGATATTCAGGTAGGGCTGCATCAAAAACATGAGCAAATCTTGCACCACGTGATGGAAAATTGACATTAACAACATGATCCTAAACAAGATTTTATCGTCCCAAAATTGAATTCGACTTTGTGTTAGAAGAGTTTGTAGTTCTTTGAAGGTTCATGCAAGTTTAGTTGAACAGGTTAATTAGTTTTGTCATCTCTTCTTGGTTGGAAAGTTTTATAGTTTTTATTTTATTTTATTTTATTTTTTATTTGTGTATTAGTGTATAGTATGTAGTTGTGACTATGAATATTTCGAGAGCTTGTAATGTGTAACATCTAATGCTGAAATTAATTTATTTTTTTTAAAATATCTGGAAATCTCGTGAAGTTTCTCATGTATATCATAACATCCTGACTAGAGTTTAGTTTATATATAGAGAGTAATTCTCTAATCATGACGTTTTGATATGGGGTTATGTTTAAACACATTCAGATTCATCTTATCTTATTGGGTTGAATTTTGATATATTGTTGATAAATCAAATGGTATTTAAACGTGGTCTTGACATCATGATATTAATTTTGTTAGAACTGAACTTAAAAAATTAAATATCATTGGATTCATCCGTATGGTATATGTTGTACAATATTTAATTAAAGTAAAAATTAAGTCTCTGTTTCTTTCATTTTTCGTAATCCCATCCCATCCAATCCTACTCAAAATGAATGTTTGTTTCAATATTTTTAAAATCTAATCTTATTCTATCAAACTTAAAATATTTAGATTTTTTTAACCCCTAAAGTTTGTTAATTTAACTAAACACTCCTAATAATAAAAGTTTATAAATTGACAAAAAACATCTCTACCCATCTACATGTTTTTAGCAGTCGGTCATTATCGTCAGAAGGTGGTATGAATTTGCCAGAATGACATACGACTGGCTAGATGTGGTGGTCGTGTGCCAATCTGGCATTTTCCGGCCAAATCCACTATGGATATGGCTAGAAAAGGTCAAATCTACGGTCAAAGATCTAGTGTTGACAGTCAGACCACATTTGGTCGTTGACGACTAGATGTGGCCAGATCTAGTCGTAAATTTGGCTAGAAAAGGCTAGATTGACGCACGACTGGCCAGATCTAGCCGATCGTGTGCCATTCTGGTAACTTCAGACCATCCTCCAGCAGTGGTGGCCGACTGTCAGTATTTAATAGATGGGTGGGAGTGTTTTTGTTAATTTTTAATGTTTTATTGTAGGGGTTGTTTATCTAAATTAACAAATGTAGGGGATTAAAAATAATCTAAATATTTTTAAAAATGTTCTCTAAAATTTTACTAAACACATTTTCAAATTCAAATCCTATTTTTTGTAATAACAATCCAATTCAACTTTTTCAAAAATATTACTCTAAATACGAAATCAAACATAAATTTGAGAGGAGTATTTTAGAGTAGATCATCTACGACATAATAGTAAACAAATAGTTTTTTCCTCGATACTTGAATTGAGAATTATTGGAACTCGCCAAATTTTTAGGGTATTATTTATTAATGTGTAACATTAATTGGTCGATCTTGTCCTCAAGCCATAAGGGACATCAAGATTATTACAATATTACTTGTAAAAAATAATAATAATAGTAGTAACAGACTACAAATGTATCAATGAAGCGTCTAACTCCAAATGTACTATTTTGAGTACCAATGTGATAATGTTGTCCTTGGGATTGGAAGTACCAATGTGATAATGTTGTCTTTGGGATTGGGTTACTGGATTCGATATAGAAGGGATTGGGTTACTGGACTGGATATAGAACGAGTAATACAACAATTACCGAATGATATGTACTGGATTCGTGCACTGAATGACCTAGTATAATTCTGACCATCGATTAATTATGAATTAATATTAATCGACGGTCAGGATTACGCTACATCATTTGGTGCATGAATTCGATGCGCATCCTTTGATAACTGTATTGTTTTCCGGATGGAACAGGATGATGGTACAATATAATTTTTTTCTTAGTCACCTGGGTCAAGAAGTCATATTTTCAGTACGTCTTTTGCACAATGGACTAAAATGTTATTAAATAATAGGTAATACTATGGTCGCAACCCTTTTTCACAAACGTAACGTGATAGCTCGTAATTAGTCAGTTCACAATGGATCCAGCCTATCTAACAACGAGTCTCGTCTAACCAATTACAAACTGTCATATCACATTTGTAAAAAAAAGTGAGAGTTAGTTAACCCATTCCTCAACTGGAGACGGGTATTAATATAACCTCATGAGGTATAATTAAAGAACAAAAATTCTCCTATAGTTATGAAAAAAATAGAAATCTTCATACCGTTCATTTTTCAATGTTAAAATAAACGAGTGGTAGATAAACAATTTGGTAAACATTCATCAATTCATTTTACTATAAATTCTATAACTACCAACTCCCAAATGACAATTTTTTTTTCGCTATTTCTAAATTATGAGGGGAACTTTTATTCTTTGATTAAATCTTAGGGATCGAGAAAACCCCTAGCTATTCAAAATTCTTATATAATCAATAATTAAATTAAAAATATTAAAGAATACGTATTTTATAAATGAGTTAATATATTTTAATATCTAACTAAAAATTAAAGAATAAATATAAATTAAATTAAAATTATTATACTAATAGATGTTTAAACAACTCTTTTTAAACTAATTCACTCTTATATAAATTTATATGTATTCCTAAAGATATTTTAGTTTAGATAAATGTGACGCTCATACTCTTAAAATATCTCATGTATTTTTCTCTAAATAATTCTCGAAACAAGTTATTTATCTTAATGGAATAGCGAAAATAACCCATGAAGTTTGAACAACCCTTCTCGGTTCTCACATCCTGTATCCCGTGCAACCACTTTTACTCGCATAATTTGAACTTAATTTTCTATAAAAATGTGTTTCAATTTAAATAAAGAAATGGTCCTAGTCTTACTCTCACTCTATCGATTGCATGGTGTTGTATTCCTCTTTCTTCTTAATTGCTAAAAAAAAAACAATTGAGAAAATAGAGGGTTTGATGTGATATTAAACTACTTGCAGATGATTAATCAAATCTTATGCATCATCTTAAATGCATTTAGGTATTTGTCAATTTAGTCTTCATTTAAATCATGTGAATTTGGTTACGTTAACTCTCTACATTGAATCATTATAATAAACATTCACCATTGAATCAACGACATTTTCAAATTTTGACTCTCTTAAATTGGATTAAATATCTCTCACATATGTCATCTTTTGATTATTGGACTATCGATGAAAACGATACTTAAACAATTTTATTAAAATACAAGTTCTATGAATTTAATTTTTAATAGTTGAACATTTACTAGCCTAAATTTCAGTTGAAAAAAAAAAAAAAAAAAAAAAAGTGTAGGACCTTGGTTGGTAGTTTGTCAATCCTAGAATTTATAATGTTTCGAATTAGTAATTATTTCTCTAAATTTATTTTTGCTTTTGGAAAAGTCGTTTGTGCATCAAGTTAAAATATAACTAATTAATGAAAGTATATCATATCAACGTGAGTGGAATATTAATATACTTAATTTTTTAATTTTTAATTTTTTTTTATTGGTAGGCATCATTTAATTTCACGTAACACAGTAAAAATCGTTTGTTCGCATTCACTGATAGTGGTGGAACTAGAAAATTACTTCGTAGGGTTAAAATGTAACGTTTAACTAACAACAGTGACCAAACAAAAATATATTTAGAAAATTTCATTCATGGTTATGGGTGTCAAAGTTTAAAGTTTAACTAATAAATGGACTATAGGAAAATAATGAAATTTAAAGGATGAAACAACATTGCTATATATATAATTTATATTGGGGAGGTCCTTGACTGTTTATTGAGCAATATTTATCCAGAAATTAAGTTTTAAATTTACATTTGAATTATTTTTTATCACATCAATCTATATATGTACATAAGTTTGTATAAGAAATTTTTGTGCTAACATCAAACAAATCCAATGGATATTAAAATAAACGAACGAGCATATATACAAAATTTAACTCAATAAATGATGAACAATAAATTAAAAATGTACAATCAAGCCCTTCACTTTAATTTGAGGAGGGTGTTAAATGCAAGGTTTTTATAATTAAATGTAGGCCAAAACCCACCTTATGAGAAGGATGGGAGTTAGATAGAAGCCACTTTCTCATAGGGGTATTTTCAATTTAATGCAATTTTTGTGGTCAATTCCAACGCCCACACTTTTATATTTCTCGATATGTTAACTTCTCAAATTTATAGCACCCACTACCAAATTTAATGCTCACCCAATAACAATTTACGAATTTATTTTGAGTTATTTTAGTCTTAATTAGATAAAAGAAAAATCTTATTGATGATTCCCAAAAACAAATATTTTTGTCGATTGGTGAACGTTCGGTAAGTCGTTAAAACTCACACCATTATAAGTTGATGAATGTTTATCTAACTGCTTTCTTTCTGTTTATATTAATATCTAAAGTAGGAGAACTTTTGTTATTTCATAAATTTTAGGAGGATCTTTACTGTTGTTAACCTTTTTATTTTATTTTTATTTTTAATAAGACGAGATTAATAGAATATCTTATCAAATTAGTTGGCACATAAATTGATATCTAAATTGATTTGACAATATTCTATTATTTAATATAAGGAGATTTGTAAAATGTCTTGTTAAATTAGTTATTAAAATTACAAATAATTTATACTAATACTTGGCTAAATGAAGCCCTACTTCATACTCTACGAAAGCAAATATCAACCAACTATTTATTATTTGATGTGAAATGTCTTTAATCTAAGAACAGTTGTTTAATATATGGTCTCACAATATTGCATTATTATGAAATTAATAAAATAACATAAGTTCCGGATGGTTCCTCCAACTTGGAATATTGAATATCCATTATTTATTTCAAATAATAATAATAAAGAAGTTGGAAATTAATAATTAATAAAAAATTAAACTTAGTTAATTGAAACTAATTTTTATTAAACTTTTATAATGTATGTTTAGAGTTTTTGGTAAGTTCTTTTTAGTTTAAAATATATCATTTCAAGGTTAAATTCAAAAGATTTGGTCTCGCGACAAGTGTTAGAGGCATAATCTAGTTGTGCATAGTCGTTGAAGGTTGGATTTGGCTTCGGTGGCGCTTCTAGACACTGAATTTGGCCTTCAATCTAGATCTGATAAGGGTTCAACGGCGAGGTAAAATGGGATAGAAAATTAAAAATAAAAAACTCAAGATTTTCCTTAAATAATTAGAAGGTCAAAATTCCCTTCTTAAAAAAATTGAAATATCAATTACAATCCTCTACCAATCAACTTTATGGGTGAAAACTAACAGAATGGGAATTATGTTCCTATTTTCTGAACTAGCAAGTGCTCGCATTGCGATTATTAAAACTATCCTTATCTTTATATATATATATACATATACAATAGTTCTCTAATCATGACGATATGATATAAATTTTTTTTTTTTTTTAAGACTATACTTAAACATTATTGGATTCATCTCGTTAGATTGAATTAATATTTGAAAAATAAATCTAATTATATATAAACATGATCTTGTAAAAATTAATATAAAGATGTCTTAACCTGAGAATATTGTATATCTAGATATGAAAATTCTGAAAGATGGATCAGGATAGTGGTTGTATAATCAAAATCATTAATTGATTTTGTATTTTGTTAAATTAGGAAATTAATCTCTCAAGTCTAAACCCTAGATAAATTCCTATCCTATAGCCTCTAAAAGCAAATATCAACCACTTATTTATGATTTGATGTGAAATACCTTTAATTATAAACAGTTGTTCAACAAATGGTCTCACGATATTAATTGTTATAAATTCATTATCCTAGTACTAAGAAGTCAATAAAAATTGAGCCACATAAAATAACATTAATTTCATATGGTTCATCCAGCTTGCAATATTGAATTTCCATAATTTATTTCATAAAAAAATAATAATATAATAAAATTAATAACTCAATTAAACTTACTTAATTTAAATTAATATTTTTATAATTTCAAGGTTAATTTTAAGCAATTGATGGCTAAGATAGATTTAATAAGTCAAATAAAAATTAAATTATTTAACCATTTAAAGTAATGATAAAATTAAATGTATATGGAAGAGTTGAGATCTAAGAATATTAAAGAAAAGTAACGAAAAACAGAGAAGAAAAAAAAAGAAGGGAGTTTCTGTAGATTTTGGTAAAGTGATTTCTGTATTTTCATTAGCCTGACGAAGACGCGCGCAAGACTTTTATAACACTAGTCAAAACGTTTACATGGAGTTTGTTACAATTCTAAAACAATCCACTATGTTTTGGTACAGTTGTAAGTTAACCCAGTTCTCTCAATATCTTCCCTTAAACACAACCTCTCAATATCTTCCCGTAAACACAGCCTAACTCAGCTTCTCAATATCTTCCTTTAACTAGCATTTGGCTGGAATTATAAGACTAACATACTAGACTATTGAAGACAAAAGGCAAGTGGCTCCAATTCTATTCTCAGCAACCATAACAAATGCATATCAAAACATTATGGTAAAGCAAGTTCTATTTTGTATCTCCTATTTTCTGAACGCATGGGACTGCAGGCAATTTAGACACCACATTCAATTTGGCTCTCAACAAACCAAATCTGTTTCCAGCCAGGGCCTTGGTTAGAATATCAGCTTTTTGATATTTTAAGGCAATATAATGAACAACTAACTGTTTCCTAGCAACCAACTCTCGCACGTAGTATACATCGATTTCAATGTGTTTGGTTCGTGCATGAAAGATTGGGTTAGAAGAGAGTGCACCAGAACTCATGTTATCACACCAAATAACAGGAACACCCTTGATTTCAAGGCCAAGTTCTTTAAACAAATGCCGAATCCAAGGAATTTCAGTGGCTGTTTGACTTAAAGCTCAATATTCAGCTTCAGTAAAAGAGAGAGATACAACCTTCTGTTTACGTGAGCTCCATTGAATTAAATTTCCGCCAAGAAAAATAGCATAGCCACTGGTTGACTGCCGATCATTAACATCACTCACCCAATCGGCATCCGCATAAGCTTCTAAATTGAAACTGGAGCTCTTGTGAAACATAAGTCTGTAGGAGAGAGTCCCTTTAATATACCTCATAATTCGTTTACAAGCAGTCCAATGTGCCTTTGATGGATTTTGGAGAAATTGGCGTAATTTGTTCACCGTAAATGCCAAGTTTGGTCTAGATAGAGTGAGATACTGTAGACTACCAATAATGCTCTGGTATAGCGAAGGATTATCAAACAATTCACCTCCCTCTTTGACTAGTTTAGAATCAGTAGCCATTAGGGTAACACATGGTTTAGACTCTTCCATTTGAGCCTTGACTAATAGATCTAGGGCATACTTAGATTGAGTTCATAGCAAACCAGAACTATTCCTTTGAACTTCAAAACCAAGAAAGTAGTGCACTTCTCCCAAAGCCTTCACTCAAATTGGTTGTTTAAATCTTGAATAACCTGGTCTACAAGTTGACATTATTACCGGTGACCAAAATGTCATCTACATAGACAAATAAGAACATAACTTGAGAATCTTTGTTATAGAAAAACAAACTCACATCAGATGTGGAGTTCTCGAAACCCTATGTTACTAAATCATCTTTTAACTTATCAAACCAGGCCCTAGGGGCATGTTTAAGGCTATACAAGGCTTTCCTAAGTTTGCAAACCTGCTGTGTGTGAGGAAAGTCAGAAAAACCTGTAGGAGGCAGCATGTAAACTATTTCGGACAAATCAACATTCAGAAATGTGTTGTTAACATCGAGCTGTTGAATACTCCAATTGTGGTAGACTGCTAAGGAGAAAATAATCCTGATCATTGTAGCCTTAACTACCAGAGAAAACGTATCAAAATAATCCAAGCCAAGGGTCTGTTGAAACCCCTTGACAACTAATCTAGCCTTGTATTTTTGTAAGGATCCATCAGCATTAAGTTTGGTTTTGAATACCCATTTTCTGCCAATAACATGCATACCTTCTTCATAAGGCACCAAGTCCCAAGTATTGTTTTGTAGGAGAGCATTATATTCAGCTTCCACGGCTTGTTTCCATTCTGGAATGTCCAAGGCTTTTTTGGCAGTTGCAGGTTCTTTGAGAATGTGATGTTGAGAGAGAAAAACTGTTGCTGAGGCTTTGGTTTTGGATCGTGTAGCCATAGGATGGGTATTAGTAGATATGGCAGCTGGTGCAGAGATAGGAAGCACAACTTCTAATTGAATGCCCGAAGTGGAAGTTGCTAGTTGAGAAGGTAACATGGTAGCATTTGTTGCGGGAGAAACATCTAAATGTGAAGACGGAGAACCTATAAAAGGTGCTAGATTCGGAGAGATATCAGATGAGGGCAACAAGGATGATTCAATTCTCCTACTAGCACAATATGGTGAAGCGGACGAGGTAGGCAGGTTTGAAGTGGGCTGCTTGAAGTGAAAATTTTGATAGGCAGTGGAGCTGTGCAAAGATGGTTTAGGGTGGGCCAGATCAATCATTGTCTTAGAATCTACATGAGCTGATGAGGTAGGCATGAGCTGGGCAGAGATGATAATGAGTGTACCAGATCAGTTATTATCTTAGAACTTGCATGATTGTTATCATTAGTAAAATCATGTGACGGGTCCAATGTAGAGGATATGCCATCTTGAAGACCTGTATGAGAAGACAAAACAATATTAGTAAAGAGAGGTTCACCTTGCTGATTTCCAAATCTAAACTTGAAAGGAAAATCCGTTTCATTAAAGTGAACTTGTTTAGTAATATATATTTGACCACCAGATGACAGGCATTTATAGCCTTTATGATCCAAACTATACCCCAAAAATACACATTTTTTCGGTATGGAAAGACAATTTATGTTTGTGATAGGGTCGAAGATAAGGGTAACAGTTGCAACCGAAGACCTTAAGGGCAACATAAGAAGGTTCTATGTGATACAAAAGCTAAAAGGGAGGAGCACCATCAAGAACCCATGAGGGTAGTCTGTTAAGTAGATAAGTTGCCATAGCAAATGCAGTCCACCAAAATTTCAGAGGCATAAATGCATGGGCTAAGAGAGACAACCCAAACTCAGCAATGGAATGATGTTTCCTTTCAACATGTCCATTTTGCTGATGAAGATAAGGACAAAGGTGTCAAAATTGAATGCCATGACTTTGCAAATACTTAGATAAGGGCCGAAATTCACCACCCCAGTCAGATTGTAAACACTTAAGATTAGTGCCCAATTGTTTCTCCACAAAAACATGAAACTGAGTAAAGATATTATAAGTTTTATATTTCAATTTCAACGGATAAATCCAGGTATACCAGCTGTAATCATTAACAAAAATCACATAATATCTAAACCCTTCACTAGAATAAACAGGGGCTAGTCCCCAGAGATCAGAATGAACAATTTCCAATGAAGCTTTGGCTCTTGAATTAGAACTTGGAAAACTACACTACTGGAGTTTACCAAATTTACAAGCTTCACAAAAGAAACCTTTATTAATTGTCTCTGTAGACATTTTTACATTCAATTTATTCAAAACAGAAGAAAGTGTCTTAGCACTTGGATGGCCTAACCGAGTATGCCAGAGTAAACAATTGTTCACTGATTCATTATTACATGAAAAAGACTAAGAAACGTTAGTATTAAAAGCTTGAGATTTAATGATAAATTGCTTTGAACTGCAGAAACTTTAGTTTTTATTGCTGGAACACAACTCTCAGGTGGAAAAGCCAACTGATACAATCCATCTTTTACCACACCTTGGAGCAACACATCCTTGCTACTTTTGTCCTTTACCAAACAGTGATCAGCATGAAATTCAACAATTACGTTATTATCTTTAGTAATTTGAGAAATACTCAGTACATTCTTGGCTATCCTAGGTACACACAATATGTTCTTGAGGTGCACAAGCCGATTAGAGTTATAAGAAGGCAACAATAACATACTTGTGTGTGTGATGGGCAAAGAATCACCATTGCCAACCTAAACTTGAGAACCTCCAGGATAGGTAGAATTCATCATCATATTGGATGTGTTAGCTGTCATGTGGTTAGAGGCTCCTGAATCCATGTACCAAGTCTCGTCAACAACTATCTTAGGAGTAGCAATGGTCTGATCAATACAACTTGAAGATACACCAGCATTGAAGCTATCCCTGGTACACATTGTGAGACACTAGATAATTGTTGACTCAATGATGGATTTACAAACACAGACTGATCATGATAACCAGTAACCGATGTGTTCCCAAAATTAGGATGTGAGCTGTTTGCAAACAAGGTTTGAACTGATTCATTTGTTCTTGGGAAAGTTGGCGAAGAAGAGTCAGCAGAGGTAAAGGCTACAGGTGCTTGTTGGTGTTGCTTTGAAGGATGAAGAGGTGCTGGAGAGGGTCCTTGATAGTCTTGATACTCATGATCAAAGCGGTGATAGCACTGCAGTGTAGAGTGGCCTTGTTTGCCACAGATTTGGCATACCAATTTTGGTAGAAAATACCCTCGGTCTCTTCCTCTACTTCTATTGACAAAAGGAGCACCACCATTGTAGCCTTTTGGAGTAGGATTGTTGTAGCCTTGTGGAACAAGATTATATGGTAGTTTGAATGAATCAGCCCTAGGATTTCCAGAGTAATCTATAGTCTAGCAACGTATTGAGGAGAGCTTATAGGTCCACTACCATTACTCTGAATCTATTGAATTAGAATACCAGGATTATGATAACTGCTAGCAGTGGGAGATATGCCACCAGAAGGATATTGTAGAGTCGTTCCAGAGGGATTAAGTGAACTCTAGAAGAATTATTTGTGATATTCTGTCTAGATGCTATTAGAGCAAATGACAGTTGCTCAAGAAAATTCATTAAGGAGCTTTGTTGTCTTTCCATGCGCATTTCGTGTTTGTGAAGAAGAAATTGCGCTTCTTGAAGAGTGGTCTGACTACAATTGGATTGTAGGTTTGCTACAACTGCATCGTACTCAGGTCCAAGATCATCGAGTATGTACAACAACAATTCCTCATCATCTATGTTAACCCCACTTGCAATTAACTCATCCCCTAACTCTTTCATTGGTAATACACACTCATTTACACTTTGGGAGTCTTTCTTTGTGGTTTGCAGCAAGTTCCTCAGATATAACGTTCTTGCCTTAGAGAATGATTGGAAATGTAGTTCTAAGGTATTCCATATTTCGTACACACTGTGACACTTTGCAACATGCCTGAACATTTACTCAGAAATTAGCGAGAACAACCAACTGACTAGGAATTGATCAGTCCTCTTCCAATCGGACTATTTAGGGTTTGGCTTTTTCACCAAATCATCACTTCCTTCCATGTTTTCCACTTTAAACATCGGAGGGCATAAATTCTCACCTGTCACAAAACCATCTAAACCATGCGAAGCTAAAGCAGGTAGGATCTGAGACTTCCAGTAATTGTAATTCCTTTCTATTAACTTCATAGTAAGTGAGGGGAGAGAAATTTGAGTTGCTTGGTTTAGTGTGTTGGCATGACCAAGCTGTTCCACATCTGTTTTAATCTTGTAGTTAGAACTTTTAGGATTCAGATTTGCCATGGACGCTTGTCTTAGAGCTCTAATACAAAGTTGAGATCTAAGAACATTCAAGAAAAGTAACGAAAAACAGAGAAGAAAAAAAAAAGAAGGGAGTTTTTGTAGATTTTGGTAAAGTGATTTTTGTATTTTCATTAGCTTGAAGAAGACGCGCGCAAGACTTTTATAACACTAGTCAAAACGCCGTCGTTTACATAGAGTTTGTTACAATTCTAAAATAACCCACTATATTTGGTACAGTTGCAAGTTAACCCAGTTCTCTCAATATCTTCCCTTAAACACAACCTCTCAATATCTTCCCTTAAACATAGCCTAACTCAGCCTCTCAATAGGAAGAAGATGCATTTGAACCACCCTTGGGTGACAGGGTGGGGCGATTGAAACTCTTAGGTGTATTACTTAAGAGGTCATGAGTTTGATTCCTCTCGATTGTTAATAGGAGTGACCACTGAAATGTTTACTCGGTCATTAACTTCAAGGCCTCAAGGGATTAGTCGAGGTGCGTACAAGCTGCTCAAACACTCCAAATGCCACAAAAAAAAAAAAAAAAAAAGATGCATTTGTCAATTCATTAATTATAAGTTGACGATGATAAACACACTAGGGTCCCATTGAACCCACATCGTTAATTACTGTGGTCAAGCTGATAATTACATTATAATTATTAATTTATTGGTGAGAAGAGTAATTGCATGAGAAGCTTTAACAAGTCTTATAGCAACTAAAAAGGGAAAAAAAAAGGATCTATTTTCGTCCCT